ATCGGCTCAGCCGGGGGTGGTGGGGGGCAGCCCTGGATAGCGGGCGGGAGACAGTAGTTCCATTTTCCCCCAAGCCAGCTGCCACTATTCAAGCGTGCTGGTTTGCGTTCACGTGAGGGCTGCGCCTCTGACTTTGCTGAATCGGCTCCTAAGGGAGGAATCTGGGAAAAGCTCCGGATCGAGGCCTGGAGCCCTGAGAGGGGCTGGGCACCCCACGCCCTCCGAGCTGACGCCCGGAGGTCAGGGGAAGCAGCCCTGCTCGGGGTCTTTGTATCTAGTCTGAGGCCTATCTTTGTGGTAGGCTCGGGCTGGGTAGAGTAAGTGCAAGAAATCATACTGAGCGCAAGAAACTCAATTTCTGCCTTCCACTGAATCCCTTCCTTCACATCACTTGAGTCCAATCTAGCTGCCTTCTGCACTGCATCTCAGGCCAAGTCAAGCGTGTTTTACTATTTTGTATCTATTCACTCTCTGAGGATAAAGGGTTGGATCACTGTAGCACCCTGCAAAGAAAGAGTACTTTGCAATCTTATCTGTTATTGTTTATTAGTGGTCACAGCCTGGTGAATGCCTTTTAATTAGATCACCCTGTGTTTTGATGTATTTAGTAATCGTTTTCCGGTCGCAGCTTTAAGAGGTGCTGAGAATTTCAACGATCTCCTACATTTTCAGCATCCAAAAATTATACTTTAATTATATAAACAGAGAAGGCATGCCACACACAAATTTCAGAGTCACTCATTGCAGATACCAGGAGACTAGAAAGAAGTTGCTGCACGTTTCTAAATGAAGAAGCAGCAAATGCTGATGGGGCAGTGAGCTATTGGTGGTGAAGGGCTTCTAGGGTGGGAGTAAAAAGGCCCAGGGTCTATTCCTGGCTTGATTGTTAGTCGGCTTTGTACCTTTGGGTAAGCTCTTAACCTTTCTGAGCTTCCGGTTTCTGAAAACGTAGGGTGGGTATAGACTAGACCTTCGTGATCATTTTCTAGCTTTAAAATCTGATTCTGGAATTCTTTGAGACTGGAAGAAGTCACTGCCTGAGGCAAAGCTTATAATCACTGCCAAAAAACACGGAAGGATTTATTAACAGTTAATTGCAGATGGTCCAATGCTAGTCATTTTATGGAGAGAATTCACTGTCAGAATTATTCTCCTCTAAGGCTATAATTTAAAGTGAACTAAAATACAAAAGACATAAAAAGAAAAATAAACACATGAAGTGCTTAAATACAAACTATATAAATATGTATAAAAGTAGGCTATATCCACATTTGTGATGGATAGTCATAAACTATATTTATTGAATGCACGGTTGCCATGGGAATATAGAATAAAATTGAGGATGTGTGTGTCCTTGGGAAATTTCCAATCTATTTGGGATTTTAAATAGCCATAGAAACGACACTTAAGGCACAGCTATAGAAAAATCTTTGCGCTTAAAAGGGCTGGAGAAAGGCATCTGCTCTCCTCAAAGACATAGGAGAGAAACGTTTTGGAGGGCTAGGAGCTGTGAGAACAGGGGGTGGATACGGTACATCCCTGAAGACAGATCCAGAGCATCTGAGGGAAGCTTGGAAATAAGATGAAGCTGAGATGTGTGCTAAGCAGAAGGGAAAGGAAGGAACCTTGAGGGACTGGGAAGAAAGGCACTCCTTATCACTTTAAACCAAAAGGTTCCTTTCCACCGTTCATTGGAAAATCCCAGAAGGACCTCTGGTCAATACAGTCAAAGAAACATAGGCCGCAGGCATCATGAGGGAATGGGAAGGTGTGGTTATCCCCCCTTTTCATGAGTTCCACCTTCTTAACAATCTGCCTGTTAAATGACTGAGCACCAGATCTAGGATCTAAAAGCAAGTTTGTCCAGGGCTGGGCATTTAGCTCAGTGGTTCTGCTTCCTACCATGTAAGCACAAGGACCGGAGTTCGATCCCTGGCACCAAAAAAAGCAAGTTTGTCCAAAACCCAGAACTGCTGCACCTTTGCATTTTGGAGCCTTAGGCTAACAATCAGAACTTGGATAAGTATTAAGAGAGAAGAGCAATCTTTTTGGCTGAAATCTGTATGCATTAGAAGTCTCTGTAATGACTTCCTGTAAAGTACCCTAACCCAGTGATTCTCAAATCAAAGGGTGGAGGTGAAGTGGTGCTTCTGGTCTCTTAGATAGCAAGATGGTGTCTTAGGGGGTCCTGGTGTCTAGCGGATGTTCCTTGGCATTGTACCTTGACCGCAGGCCTGCTAAATGTTCTATCATACATAGACTAGGGCTGAATGAATGAATATTTCCTTTATGTTTTATTGAGAGCCTACTTCCATCTGGAGTGGGTAGAGGGAAATAAAATGAGCAGTGAATCAGAAATCTAGCCGGAAACCCAGCCTACCAAACAATAGAGATCTGCTGCCAGAGACACTGGAGGATCCTCCCAGGCTGGGCTGCTGGGCTGCTGAGCTTGGAGCCCAGAGCCTGTCCTGAAGGGTCTGAAGTCGACTAGTGGAAGCACACCTAAGGGAGTCCTTGTCCCTGCTCAGGGAGTGTTCCAGGGAAGATGTGTACAGTGGCCCCAGGGAACTCAGAGGGAGAAGCATCTCTTCACTGAGGCACTCTCACATTGCTCTTTCAGAATTTATTTCCTTCTTGTGGACTTGTGTGTGGTAAGGACTTGAACAGATCAGTTGAAATGCTCATTGCAATAGGGAAGGTAAGTAAATTCTGCCTTTAGGTGCCTCTCCTACCAAGATAAGAGTATTAGGAAAATATCCCCAGGACATGATTGTTATAAAATGTGCAAAGATAGTTCTCCAAATTAAGGGGAGAACTCTGTCTTGGAGGGGAAGTTCCACATACCAGGTAGAATCTGAAGTCAGAAATGCAGAGAAAAAGCCAGGCATGTGGTAGTGCCTCCCTGTAATCCTAGCACATGGGGAGGCTGAGGCAGGATGATCCAAGTTGGAACCTAGTTTGGGAAATTTAATGACTTACTAAGATCCTGTCTCAAAATAAAGAGGCTGGAGATGTAGCTTAGTGCAAAAGCTGTGGAGAAATGGGGGGGGAGGAAGAAAGGAGGGGAAGGGAGGGGAGGAGAGAGGAGGGGAGGGCCAGATGTAGTGACATATACCTGCTACTCTGGGTGACAAGGCAAATGGAATACAAGTTCGAGGCCAGCCCTAGCAACTTAGTGAGCTGCTATCTCAAAGTTTAAGAAAGGGCTAGGGATGCAGCTCAGTATTCCATGATTTCAATCCCCAGTAAAACACACACAAACACACACACACACACACGCACACGAAACAGAGGGAGAGGGAGAGGAGCTCTTTGACTTTAGCAAGTCTGATAATGCAGAAGCAGTTAATTGCCAGGCTCAGTAGTGCATCCCTGTAATCTCATCCTTCTGGGAGGCTGAGGCAGGAGGTGTACAAGTTCAAGCCCAGAATGGACAACTTAGATCTTGTTTCAAAAAATAAACAAAGAAATAATAGTTTTGAAATATAGCTCAATGCAAAGGCCCTGGGTTTCATTTCCAGTGCTAGAAAGAAAATGAACTGCGTTCTGCTTATGCTGCTGGTCAAGCAGCACGGTGTGGGCCAGACAGAACCTGTCAAGCATTTCAAGGAACTATGCTTCATTCCTGTTTCTGTTGACACTGGGTACCATACCATACACATCTCTTTATTGAGTGAGACGTCCCAGAAGTGAGCTAGTTCCTGGGAATATGTATAAACAGTTCCACTGGGGATAACTCTAAGGTGGCAGTGGCAGGGAATGGCTGAAATGGACAGTGCTAGAGGTTAGAGATGTCAGTTGTTGTATTCATAGTACTGGTTTCTACCCTGAGCATTTGGCCCAAAGGATCCGAACACATTGGCTCTGGATCCTGTGACACTGGCACAGTGTGTGTGCCTGCAAGAGCTACTGGTGTGTCTGATTCATTTGGTTTATTCATGTGGAAATTTCTTAAAAGTGATAGATTCTGCAAGGCTTGGAGAAAACTTAATGGTTACGTGAAAACTATTTTCTACGAGTTTGAGCTTTGGTTTGAAAAGAATAAATGTGGCCTTATATTACAGGGACTGCTTTCCATCCTTTTCCTCAGATGTTAAAGTGACTTGTAATTGCCGCTCTTAAACTAAATCCTGGAAGAATAACAGTGATTCATAAGTGTTGATAAAGCACTGTTGAAATCTGGAATGTATTTACTGCTATTGTTTAGATGTCCTAAAATGAGAATTTCATTGGATGTGATAGAATGAATGAAAAGATAGCACATTTCTAACTGGCAGTAGCATTTCTTAGGAATCGTTAGGGAAGAAAGAGGAAGCAAAATGATTTTTAGAAATATAGGATTCCAGCATAATTCCAATTTTTAAATGCTTTTAGCTCCAGTAGAATATAAGTAAAAGCCAGAGAGCTTTGCATTCTCGGCTGTTGATATAATGGTGTTGTCTGCTATACCAAAACTACTAACTTCTGAATTCAGAAGGCCTTTAATTTCACCCACTTTACTGCAAGAGTCTGTCATTCTCACCACCCTGGGGCTAACATAGCGTTACACAGATGCATTGTGGGAAGCTTTCACCTTCTGAAGCCCCAGCTGTTGACGGTTGCTTCGGGGCAATGAGGAGCTTGTTGTAGGTCTTCCTGCTATAGTGACAAGCCTTGTGAATTTCCTATCTATATGTCATATACACTCCCCCAAGTGCCAGTTTCATACTGATCTCTTCAATTTTTTCAATTATAAAAGTAAAGAAAGTCTATTGTAAAATATGAAAGGCCCTTCATTGCTTTTCCACGATGCCCATCCCAAACTCCTCAGAAATAAGAAAGGCTAACAATCTGGTGTGAATAGTACGGCTTTGAAGTTTTAATTTGAAGATATGTGCCTAGAGCTTACATTCACCATCATTCTGTGTGTGGAACGAGAACACCATTAAGGTAACCTACACAGCCTGTGGGGGAATCCAGCATTTGTGTTTTCCCACCCATAAATACATCTCTGTGTATATGCCCATCAGAGTTTGAAAACTCACAGCCCGTAGACACATTTTGTTTGACTTCTCCACTGTTTTAAATATATATGAACTAGGGCCGGGGATTTAGCTCAGTGATTCCACCGTCTGCTTTGCAAGTGCAAGGACCCAAGTTCAATCCCTGGTACAAAAAAAAAAAAAATA